GATGGATGGATGGATGGATGGATGGATGGATGGATGGATGGATGGATTACTTCGTCAATAACTAGGAACTTTCCTTCTAATAACAATACTTTCTTTTTTTCAGTTTTTGACAACGAATCCCCTCAAGACTGTCCCTCTCGCTGGCAATCCTCTAAGTATTCAAGTGAGTACGAGAATTTTCATTATATTCAACTCTCCCAGCCATGGGAAATAATGGCTTATACCAATTCAATATCTCGATTGGTCGATTGGTTAAAAAATCCATAGAGTCATCAGGATTTCAGTACATTTTTACCACAAATTTTAGTTTTCTGGCTCTCGGATTGGTCGAGAGACGTGGCAAATATGGACATCTCAACGAATTACGTTAGAAATGTACAAATTGCTCGCACATGGAGCCAGCTTGCGCTTGAAATCGTTCTTCTTTCAAACTGTTTGCTTTTTTGTAATTAAAAATAAGGTTTATTGTATTGTATTGTATTTGCCCTGTTGACGTCATATCTTGGTAAATATGGTTTATTGTATTGTATTGGCACCGTTGACGTCATGTTTTAGTAAATATGGTTTATCGTATTGTATTGGCACTGTTGACTTCATATCTTAGTAAATAAGAGGACATACCATCGCTCAACCATCGAAAATGTGTTAAATTACTCATCACTTAAGTTTGTTTCCATGTAAGCGTTTTTGTTTCCATTTTAACAGATGAACGAGGCTTGTACGGATTTACATGCTGGGGAAACAACGGAATATTCTACGGCCTGAATGGATTTCTTTTTGTTAAGTAATGGAGTTTACTGGGTACAGCACAGAACAGCATATTCCGCGTAGAATAGACTTAATTTCACTTAATGAATTCGAAAGTACTGGCACTGAACATTGAATCTTCCTATAAGAATGGTTATCGTATGAGTGGGAAACACACGGTACTGACTGACAGCACGTACACGTTACGAAATGCCGTAACATTGTAATGGTTTTCCATAAGAATGGCCGTTGTCGTCTGAGTGGGAAACATACGATAGTGACTGACAGCACGCACACGGTACGACATGCTGTAACACTAAAATGATTTCCCATAACAATGGTTATCGTATAAGTGGGAAATATACGGCACTGACTGACAGCACGCACACGGTACGACATGCTGTAACACTGAAATGGCTTACCACAAGAGACGGTATGAAGCAATACTCTAGGTCTTGCTTCCCACTGTAAAGCAACATTCATCCAGTTGATCATATCTCTTAGATACGTTTCTTCAAATTTCAAATTGAAGTAAATTGTTACTTCAGCTTCGTGTTTTTCACATTTATTTTGTGAAGCTTTCTGCCTTGTCAAGCTATCACAGTCATCTGGAAGGCAGACTCGAAACAAGAAAAACACAAGAAAACTTGAGCAAGCAGTGTAAAGCGCTCGCAGTACGCGTGTGCAGAAAAAAATCAATTGGATGATTCTAAAATAGGTTAAAAGAGGGCTCACGATAGCTATAAGCCTAAATACGAAAGATTTCTTCTCATAGTTCATTTTATATTAATGCCAATTATTGCTTGACCTAAGATCTAAAAAAAAAACATATGATTGTTCGCAGTTTTCTGTCTGTTGTTGCAGATATTCTCAGTCTCCCTCCCACAACCATTATTCTTAGCGTTAAAACAAAATAAGATTGTTTACATGTGACGTTCGTCAATAGAAAACATTCCGACGCGTAGAAACAAGAGCAATAGCATGTTTGAAATATCTTAGTAGTCATATACAAGCCACATCGCTTTACCGTCGTGCACAGGCTGTACAATTCATAACTTTACACATTACGAGATTTGGATTGAACAGAAAACATGATTACATAAAAGAAAATCATTGGATACACCCCTGTAATAGATCTTAGAACGTGTGGTATTCCCTTGATAACTATTTCTTTTTCTACCATTAATGTTCGAGGTACATGAATAAGAATACAACTGCAATAGTTGAAATGAGAAAACGTTACACCGAAAATGAAAAGGATTTTGAAAACATCATTTTCCGTCTAACTCCCGTAGTTTCAAGAGACGTTGTCATCGCAGAAGGCAATGGGCGCTGCGCTCGGTCCGTACAGCATCACCTCGAGCCAAATATTTTCCCGTATGGCCCTCCCACTCAGTCAATAAGTACATAGTACTAATTAGTAGTAATTCATACAGAATCCTTTGTTCCCTATTGTTTTAATATCACTATTTA